ACTTTTCTATGAAAAAAATTAGTGAATTTTTGTGTTTTGAACTTATGAGTATCTAAATAAAAATCACCCATTATTTACAATTAATTTCCAGAGCGGAACTACGTATGCACTTGTGGGAAACGATATACTCTGTTCAACAACATGAGACGTCACCAAAAGTTCGAATGTAGAAAGGAACCACGGTTTGCTTGTTCACAATGTGAATACAAGTGTTTTAGAAGAAATGTTTTGTGTCGTCACTACAAAGGAAGACATGGCATAACATGTCTAGATACTCTTCAAAGTCTGTTGGGCCATGATATTTGAGACGCCTTTTCAATACTAATATAAAAACAGGTAGAAACATAGATTCGTTCTTTATTTTAATAAATAATATGTGCATCTAATTGTTTATTTGTATGTACGAGATATATTACACTTTTTCCACATAAAGGCATTAGACGAGGCGAAAGTTTTGAGACGCAGGTTCTTGATGTTGGGTGACGTGACTCACGTTATAGCCGAATCATCTTAGTTGTATATTTATATGGTATAAGAAGGGTGTGCTTATTAAATTATGTCTAGATTGAGTGAAGTAGCCACTTATCTCACAACATCCAGATCAATCCAAATCCGACTCGCCTATCACCTGAGCCACGCAACTTCAATTCTGGTACCTTCATTTTAAAGTTAGCCTCGTCAAAGGAAGTATATACATTTAGATAGATTTTTGTTTGTATTTTCCGTTAACCGCATATATTTTTCAGGTAAACCACAATTTGCTTGTTCATGCGGCAAAACATATTCGCAGTACCGAAACCTATATCGTCATCAAAAACAGGAATGCGGCAAGGAACCTGCTTTTAGATGCGTAAAATGCAGCTACAAATGTTTCAGAAGAAACGTCATGTTCATGCATTACAAGTCGAGACATCATATTTTTTGTAGAGATACTCTTAAGCTTTTAGTGAGTGGCAATTATCAAAACGAGCAAGCATAGTTTCAGTAGAGAACCAGGCTGAAGCTAGTATTAAAAAAGATGCGGGTGTAGTACACTATTTAATTTCCATATATTTTAAACAACCATAGATACCATTATAATTTCATAATGCTTCCAGAAACTTTATTATTGTTTCTTCAATATCTAGCAGAGTAATGAAACAGATATTTCAGAAACTGAGAAACGAAATAAGATATCTACGAAACTCGTTGGTTAAGACGAACATTGAAATGAAATGCCAGAAGAAACTGGCTTAAAAGTTTTTCTACAACTACAGACCAACTGAAACTCGTTGGTTCAGACGGACATTGAGATTAAATGCTACTGCTACTGCCTTACCACTGGTCTCCAGCAAGAAAATTTTAAGGCTTTCCGAAAATTCTGTCTGTCGCTAGAAAATACTTATACCGGGTGTTTTAAAGTCGCCTCTCTTCTTTTGGTCTCAGAAATGGCAAGAGATACGAATTCGAATAAAGGAGGGCAAAGATTCGTATCCAGGTAGCTAAGAAAATATCTCGTATACAGTTTATCAATCCAGAGTATTTCCAGAGATAAACGAAAATAGCGGATTTTTTCAAAACTGTTCTTTACCCAGCTTAATTCAGGTGAAATTTCAAAATGAATTGCATATTAACATTGCCACTCAACTAGAATTTAACTATGACGTTTCATTACTTGTTCTCAATCATAAAGTTTATTTTCTAGTATTAACGCCATATTGGATTTCTAAAATGTACAGGGTGGCCCATAAGTCGTTTGAGCTGGAAAAAAAGGAATAAAACCAAACTAGTTACATTATGAAGAATTATTATATTTTGTTATCATCTTTATTGAATGGGAATTATGTTTTAAAAATCACATCGTCTAAATGCAATCCATTACGATCACGGCACTCATATAAACGACGTCTAAAATTGTCGATGACTGCACGGCAAGTCAACACTGTAATGCTTGCCATTTCTCTTCGGATATTTTCTTTCAGGACATCAACTGATCGCGGAGTGGTGTCGTACACTTTACTCTTGAGGTAGCCCCATAAAAAGAAGTCCATTGGGGTCAAATCTGGACTACGTGGTGGCCAGGAAATGTCTCCTCTTCGAGAAATTACTTTGCTGGGAAAAAGTTGACAGACGACGGGCATAGAAGTGTTGGAGGTGTGGGCAGTTGCTCCGTCCTGTTGAAACCAGGTCTGCGTATTATAGCCTGGAAAATTCTGCAACGCTGGTGTCAAAAACTCTTCTATCATTGCTACATACCGCTCCGAAGTAACAGTTAACGCGCGACCTCTATCGTCCTCCAAAAAATAAGGGCCTACGATGCCATGCGCTGACATAGCAGCCCAAACTGTAACTTTAGGGCTGTGTAAGGGCTTCTGATGCTTACGCCTTGGATTTTCGGGGCTCCAATAACGGCAATTTTGTTTATTTACATGCCCGTTTAAATGGAAGTGAGCCTCGTCCGAGAACAACACATTATTGAGCGAAGAAAATCGATTCAACATTTCATTCGCAAAGTTTAGTCTCTGAATAGCGTCATTATCTTTTAAATCCTGCACTAACTGAATTTTGTAAGCGTGCAGACGTAAATCTTTCCTTAAAATCAGCTGTAAAGATGTTCTGGGTACGTTTAGTGCACTGGAACGCTAACGAGTAGACTGGGTAGGATTTTGACGAACAGACTGTGCCACAATTTTGATGTTTCCTTCAATACGAGTTGTCCTTGGTCGACCCCACCGCTGTTTATCTAACGTCGAACCAGTCTCTTCGAACTTAGCAACCCAGTTCTTAATCGTTTGAGCTGTTGGACACTTTGTAAAATTGTGTAAATTGTGGTATTCTCGATATTTACGCCGCGCAATGGTTGCCGAATCATTATTTTGATAAAACGCGCGCACACAAAAAGCACGATCCGCTCCAGTGAAACACTCCATGGCGACTGAATTCCCAGACACTGAAGATACTGCCCCCTCCTCGCCCGCGCCGCTCACGCTCACCCGTTAAATTTTATTCAAATTTGAAATTTCCTAGGACTTATGGACCACCCTGTATAATATAACATACAACGCCATCGCGAAGCCTCAGTTGTTGAAAAGAAAATATAGATTTTCATCGTCAGCCTTGAAAATGACATCACTAACTAAATATTGCTTTGGTTTTTAAAAAGCGTGCTTAGGGGATATTTAGACAATTTGTCTACTTATCGACTATATAACAAGCATGACTACGTAATATCTCAGGCATAAATTGATATTATCTTATTTAAATACAAGATGTGTGTATCGATTTAGATATGACTGATATGAAACGTGTTTAGCAACCTACAACATCGTCGACGTTTTTACAAAATGTTTCTGTTTCTTAAAATTAAGCAGTGGTCGATGTGTTAACAATACTGCCATTAGATGAGCTGAAAAAATGGATATTATTTTGTTCTTTATTCGAGGACTTAAGACCAACTAGTTTTAAGTTTGGAATAACGTTTTATTTACTCCTCATCATGCTATGAACCATTAAATTCCAAAAAAGGTACTGTTGACATATACAGTGCCATTTTTGAACCACGTATTTCAGTAGGTGGCGCCGTAGTACTTGTTTGAAGCACATGGTACAGGATCCCACAACGCGTCCGTATTGTTAAAACGCTTTACTTAAATTATGAGTCGATTATTGCAACGATTCGGAAGCTACGACAGGATTTCGGTTGAAATAATGTGCCCAGTGTCCACACCATTCGTCAGTTGGTGCGAAAATTTGGAGTGAAGCGTCTACCATACATCGTTCTCAAGAAGTGGGTATTCGTCGCCCGTCATTATGCACTATTTTGAAAATGAAATGCAATATTGCAGCTTAATACTCAAAATAGAGCAGCTGAAGCGATTGAAAATATTCCTCCCGAATCCTACCAAAAAGTGATGGAAAATGTAATCAAGAGGGCTCAGGTTTACGCGGCTTCTAGAGGCGGACATTTGTCTGATATTATGTTTCCTACATAATTTCTAAGTTTCAATAAAAGATTAAGATGAAAAAATTGACGTATTTTATTTCATTTCACAAATATTCGAGATACTCGTACAAACCAGTCAGCTACATATCGGCCACTCTGTACTTAGTTCATAAAAACTGAAGGAATGCTTGGTTGAACATATCATGAAACAAATTTTATTAATTTATTATTTATTTTCAAATCCGACCTCAGATAATGTCAAAAATAAGATTGGAAAAATTGGATGTTTTCGTCTATCTTCGGAATTGCGAATTATGCTAACCGACTTCGTTTCTCTTGCCGTTGAGATGCCAATGGTGAGAGTCTAATTTATAACATCCGGTATGTATCGACAGTTGCCACTCAGAGTCTCGGTTATTGCCTGCCCTTTTCCAATTCTACGGATATTGGAAAAAGTAGGTACCCGATTTCAACTTCTCAGGTTGTCCTTCATGTTCAAGGCCAAAGACAACACTGCGTTGTTAGCTATTGTTTTGGGTATTTTTTGAAACAGTTTTATCAAGCACTAAGTTGTAATAGAATTTGTGAATCAACATATATGTGATATTAGTCAAAAGCGTTCACGTGATTGATGCTACTAAATCTTTGGTATATATTGTTTGTTCGATACAGCCCTTCGGATACAGACACAGGTAGTTCTTGCTTGTTATATTGGCATAAGTCGGTAGTGGTTGTTATACAGACTAATAGCCCTGAAATGTAATTGAAATAATATAATTTATTCTTACAGAGAGACGATTTGTCTGTTATCAATGCGGCAAGAGGTATAAGAATCCAGAAAGTCTGTCCAGGCATAGAAGAGAATGTGGATCAGAGAAAAAGTACCAGTGTCCTTACTGCGGCCACAAGACTCACAGAATGGATAATCTCAGGAGACATGTTCACTTACATACTACTTATACTGTTTTTAGTAAAATGGAAGCTAAACAACAGACTCGAAGTGTAGATTGAATCAGTTTTTGAAAAACTTTGAATGCTTTCCAAGAATCCAAGCTAAACAATTTTTTGCAAATAAAAAATGCTCAAAGCTCGGAGCAAAGTATCTACTTGGGAGAGGTAATCTCAGAATCGAAGTTTTATTTGTATCTTCGCATGTTTCACAATACCAATTGATTGGTGGTGGTATCACTTTTTCTGCTTAAGGTATTACCAGCGCATACTGTAGGAAAATCACAAACTAGTTGGATTTAATTTAATACCTCAACTTTATGTGATTCGTCCGTAAATGGTATACATTTTTACCTAGGACACTTAACATGACAACATATATTTTTCTGTCTTAGTCAGGTAAAAATAAGAAATATTGACATCGATAGATAGTCTTTTTTTGGAAAGCCATACCTCAGTGTGCAAAAAATGACCGATTTTGACGTATAATTACAATGTGTTGGGCATATATGCAGATTTTTATATGAATTGTAACCAAATGCGAAGTAACACCCTGAACCGTGTGTAATTGTATAAAGTAAAGGTCTTGGAAAGCAATTCAAACTTCTACAAATAATGAGGAGGTTAGGCTGACAGGCAAACTAACATTTTTTGATATCAGAAATAATTCTAATAGTTATTAGTGGTAAATTTTACCTTTTTCCCAGTGAGCAATGTTATTTATTATACCAAAATAATCCTTGTGGAGACGGTAATATATTTTAATATAAAACATATTTTTGAGACACGATTTCTTGACATCCCACCTTCTGGCATGGCTTCCTTCGAAAAGAATTGACACAATAAGTAAGAAAGGTTAATGTAAGCCGAGTACACAACTAAATGGCAGATTGTTATACAATCTTAGCAACAAAGGAGATTTTCTAGCGATCAGTGCTCGATGTATAGAATTCGCCAGAGAATGAGAACCAGAAGCCGGCGGTTACGACTGTCAGGCCTAAGACAGTGGTACATTTATGCAAAAGCCTGACAAAAATTCAAAAAACAGCAACGAAAACAAATGAAACCCTCCACCTATTTGAAAAGTGCTTCAAATAATAGTTTGGCTATGGTAACAAACCTGTGCTTATGCTACCTTGGTTAGAACAGACTATCAAATATTGAAGTTTCTAGTAAATGATTCAATACTACTTTTTACCAAATGTTTATATTTTTCATCAGGACGTAGTGCAAAGAATATGACATGTTACTTCAAATCCATTATTGTTTCAATGTAGAAATTGAACGTTTTGCCAGATTTTCGGAGTACTGGACCACTGTTCGGCGGAGAACTCAGAGGAGCAAGTACTGTAGGGATATCGGTAGATCACCGAAAGCTTGTCGATGAGAGACGTTGGTATTCAGGATTGCTTCAGCGAAAATGTCTTCAATCTTTGATTCCTCATTTTTTCTATGTTGCCTGTTATGGTTATCTGAAATACCTTAAAGTAGAAGTGGATTTTCGAAAACAAATAACATTTTAAAGAATTTAATATACTAACACAGTCTATTTTGTAGGTCACCCATTTTCTTTGTTCGGATACAAGTGCCAAGAATGTGGAAAAACGTACAAGTACATCAGAGGGCTGAACAGGCACAAGAAGGAGTGTGGACAAGAAAAGAAAAACAAGTGTTTCTTCTGTCCACACAGAACGCATCGAAAAGAAAATTTAAGGTTGCATATGATGATGAGGCACAACTTCAACACGTACTCAAATGATGCGGTAGAAATTAAGTTGCTAGATTAAAGCAGTTGTCAGTATACGGGTCGGAGTCCTTTGGTTTTCTTGATTTTTGGTCATCCAATGAAGACTCGGTAATACTAGTTTTACAACCATCGGAAATTTAGGATTTGAATCTTTATATACTTGAATGTTTATTTGAAGGACAGTTTGTTATTTTTTAATAAAGTCGGCTATTTTTTTTATTATTACTATCTGCTGTTTTTTTAATAATTTTAATGTTGACCCATGGACCCAAAGTTCTGAGACGTCGATTTCAAGATACAGTGGTATTCCATTTGACTCTTCGTACACTCTTGGAGCTTAATGCTGGCATGATTGATGGCTTGCAGTGGTTACATAGTTGTGTAACTACTACCCCACAAGCTTTCCTTCTAGTAAGTTCTTTTATACCGATGCACCAGCGCACCATGGCTGTTATGAGGAGCTTAAAGAAACGTTGTTAATCTGATTTTTGAACTGTCTAAGGTTAGTAGTACTGGAAAAACCCTCTTCAGGCAGATTGTTCTATAATCTCGATACCCTATAGACAAAGGACCGGTCGTAACGGCCAGTTCTGGATGTACGAAGTTTGTCACGGCATCACAGCAAACATGTGAATAGTACTCGAGGCTAGGTCTTATCTGCGCCTTGTACAGAGTGAGAATATCATGTGGAGAAAAGTGCTTATTAGCCCTAAACAAACAGACTTGCCTTTTTCCGGGAGCTGGCGCTATTGACATGTGTTCGTGTCAGATCATGTCCTCGGTGATTTGGACTCCGACCAACCGAAATGAATGAATGGCTCTTTTTTAGAACTCGACCATCCATCGAAACCGGTTGAACGCCAGGGCGCTTCTCGTTAGTCAAGATACAGTAGTGTGTTTTCGAAGAACTAAACTGCGGCAGATTTTGTGTCCTCAAGCAGTGATAACCTCCAGGTCTCTCGTTAGAGAGGAAGTCGCAGCTAGTTTTCTTTTCTACAGCTCACTGGCAGAGATTGGCTTGTCACCCTGAATTCCTGCATGTAGCAAAGATGTGGATCAGATTGATCGTACCGGAAAGAAGGTCTTTGATACGTAGGAGTAACAATTCGAAGACAAGACCATCTGGGGAACATCTGCGTCGATAATGTGGGATGAAGAGGAGAACCCTTCAATGAGAGAGGAAGCCAGTCACCCATCTGCATAGCTGCTCTGGGAGGTCATCGGTTATAAGCTTGCATAAGAGTGCAGCCTGCCACATATCATCGGACGCTTTCGTGAGGTCAAGAACAACGACATTAGCCTCACCATAAGCCTGCATGAGTTTGCTCCACAATTGCGTAACGTAAGCTAGGAGGTTCCCTGTGGATCGCTGGTGCCGGAAACCATACTGCCTGTCGCCAATCAAATTAATCTTGCTCTGATCTGGCGCGTATTTAAATAAACAACTTCCACGGTTCCGATGTAGGAATTCGGACCCACGAACCTCTGAGCCGATGTGCTAGCAACTCGGCGCCGAAACACATCTGGCTACATATATGTCTCATTCGCAAATTGTGATTTGTTTTTCGATTGATCCGTATTGGCTTATTTGCCTTCCGTCACCTGTCTCCAAATGACTAGCCTCATATACCGAACTAATGATTGTTAAAAAGCATGAAACAACGTTGTATACGTTTGGTTATTGTCGCAGAGACGGAAGCAAACAGATTCTATTCAGACTGTGATAGCTCTTATTGTTTATTAGTTATTAGTATTAGTAATCCACTAAAAACAGTGCGTGAAATTTGGGACACTCGTTATAATTGTCACTATCACAAGTCAGTTAATACGGCGTAAGAAAATTTCATGTTGCTTTATTCGGCTTTGTGAAAAGCTTATCAAACTCTGAGTGTCTGTTACAATTGGTTTATCTTTGAGGTCAGATTTTTCTCTTTCATTTCGCAAAATTTTTTCATCTGCCCTCGATATACGATTATTCCATGACCTAAAATCAAGAAAGCATTACCCTTGTATAGAAGATAAATAACAAATCCTTTATGTACCTAACTGTATACTAATTTTAACTTAAAGTATTTGTGTTGGGTATTTAAGATCTGTTCAAGTGCTATAAGTATGTGTGAGTGGTATATTTTTGTAAATAAATGGTTTAAAATCAGTGTTGATTTATATTTGATTTTTGGTCATGTCCTTCACGATATTGTCGTTTTTGACATAATGTTGAATTCGAAAGAAACATATTCTTCAAAGCAGTTCTGCACCCAAATCAGGTATTTTCAGTCTCAGTGTAAATTTGCCGATAAAGGAATCTCGTAAAGGTGACAGATGTCATACATACAGATGACACACTGACTGTCGGCCCCTGGTGTCACCTGCTGCTTGGCAACTATCCTACCAATTATGGGTGCCTGTAGGAATTTGATCTAAAGGGCGCAAATAAAAGCTGTGTAGATGTGTTCCCGAAACGCTGTGAAAAGCAAAAGACGGGCTCGGCTTGACTCGGGCAGCGGATATCGTGTAAAACGCATTCCCAGGACGTGCAAAACCTGAAAGCCTTTATCATTATACACAAAGCCATGCAAAATATGCAGATATCATTTACACTAAGTGAGAGGAATATATGATCAAAAGTAGACAACACACCAAGAAGAATGCTACTTATCGAAGTGCGGTTTGTGGCAGATAATTTTGTTTCATGATTGGGCATAAACAGCTACGAGTATACAATCGGGATGGGTTGTTCTTATGAAATGAGCAGCTCATTATTTCATAATCTGAATAAAATACGATCCTTTAATAACAAGATATGCATGTGTCAGTTCAATTTAATATACTTGCATTTACCAAACTCGTATGAAAGTAAAATATTTCACCCGCAAACAATTTTACGCGTTTTATACAAATACTATACATAGCGATTTGTACTTTCTAAAGCACGGAAATGCAGATTCTACAAACGTCATCGCAGGCTGTACTTTCCATCGTACCCTGTCAGATCTATGCATATATCAAAGAAAAATGAGTAGTTGAAAATTTATAAATTAATTAAACTTAATATTTATATTAATTAAATCTATTAGAATGATTAGGTCATAATAAAATTCGCTATTGAAACAGTGTTGTAATATAAACGGTAATTTTTAATTTATTCCGTGAATATAGCATCAGATCGATAAAAACACTGTCTGAAATTTCCGACCAATTTGGAATTGAAATTAACCCCCATATTTGGACAAGTATTTTAATTCCTTGAAGGGTTTTTAAATTACTATTGAAGACTTTCAAGGGTAGATATCCCCGTAAAGAGAAATCAGAACGGGACAAGTCGGGCCTTCATTGTGGTGGCGGTCTCAAAACCATGATCAAAATTCGTCTTAAACTCCTAACAAGCAATACCCAAAGTCGACGAACGTCTACGGTTTGAGGTTCTCTAGTCAAGAGTTCAAGATTAATACACCTCCATGACGTGGTTTCAACAGTGCGGCACCATCTTTAGTACGGGAAAAGTGATACCAAAAAGGAGTGTCATTGAGTGATTATCATGAAAATCGTCGACGAATTGAAGCTATACATTAGATGTTATTTTCGAAAAATAAATTTAAAATATTCTTTTATATTATACTAAGTGAGATATAAATCCGACCACCCAGTTTAAATGGTTTTATTTTAATAAAAGTTTTTGAATGTATTTATCTTACTGTAAATAACAAGCTAAAAAATTTTCAGCCTTATCAGTTGGACATTCCGGTTTTTATACTGTTTTTGTTTAATTCACTAACGCTCTAAAAATGAATATTTCAGCCGCAGTAAAGAATCAACGTTGGCGGATTTTGGTTCTTGACATCCTTTACGATCGGTTACGATGCCTAGAGTACGGAGACCTGTACGATTTCGTCAACTTAGTGAGTTTGATAGGGCCGTATAGTGGGACTTCGGGAAGCTGGACTTTCTTTTCGGGCAATTGCAGTTAGAGTGCAAAGAAGTGTAGACACTGTGGTTAGGTGTTGTCAGGCATGGCTTCGAGAATGCCGTACGTAAAGAGCAAGGGGCACTGGACGCCGCCGTAGAACAACAGACCGTGAAGATCGCCGCCTAAGATTATTCTCCTTAAGGGACCGTTTCTCCACTACCAGGTCCATTGCAAATGAATGGTTTGCAGAGCACGGAAGACCTATTGGCATGCGAAGTGTTTACCGACGAATGAGAAGTTTTGGCTTGTTTTCAGACCGGCCACACTGGGTCCTCCCTTTAACTCGAGAACACCGACGTAATCGCCTTGAGTGGTGCAGACAACGGTCACTCTGGGATCAGGAATGGAACAGTATTGTCTTTAGTGACGAGTCTCGATTTTGTTTAGGCATGCACGATGGTCGTGCCAGGGTTAGAAGGCGACGTGGTGAAATGAGGAATCCACAGTTTTTTGTTGAAAGACATGTTCATCACACTGTTGGAGTTATGGTTTGGGGTGCTATAGCTTATGGTTCCAGGTCACCTTTAATCTTCATCAGAGGTAACATGAACGCGCAGCGTTATATCCACGAAGTTCTAGAACCCCATCATTTACCCTATCTTGACACCCTGGCAGATCCAACTTTCCAACAAGATAATGCCCGACCACATGTTGCAAGAGTCACAATAGACTTCTTTCAACATAATGATATCACATTGTTACCATGGCCACCAAGATCTCCCGACTTATCCCCAATTGAGCACGTGTGGGATATGATGGGTAGGAGATTGCTCGATTTGTAACGTCCTCCTCAGACTCTAGAAGCGCTTCGAGAGGAGTTGGTGGTTGCCTGGAATGAGACACCACAGGAGGACATTGACCACCTGATCAGAAGCATGCCTAGGCGCGTTGGAGAATGCGTAGCACATCAGGGTGCATCCACACATTATTAAAGGTCAAATTGCTTTAAAGCAGTGCAATCATTTTGAAATTTTTATCATTTACTTATTATGCTTCATTAAGTACTTATACAAAATTTTATTAAAATAAAACCATTTAAACTGGGTGTTCGGATTTATATGTCACTTAGTATATAAAACTTGATAAACTCTTTCGGTACCAATATTTTTAAAACTGAGCTTTATAATGTGCCACCGTGCACAATAGTAGATACACATCTTTCACATGTTATTCTTTATGGTGAAAGAATAAATCCTTTCTAATGCACGCATGCCAGCCATCCTCTAGGTCTGAAAAACAATATTTTCGATAAGAGAAATGTCACAGATACATGTAATATGCGATTATCTATCTTTAATAATGATTGAATCTGAAAGACGGCATAAAGACATACATTTTATACAGGTATATCGAGTTTAGCCTAAATTCTTACATTGAAGCATATTGTCGCAATCCAATACTTCGTTTTATAACAGGCATCCTATACAGATTCCGCCTAGTTTAATATAAATCAAAAATATACCTTAGTACTCTTAACTGCACATATTCATAGCAACATTTATGATTCATGTGATATTTGTAATCGTATGCAATTCATAAATAAATGGTTTTCAAAGTAGAAGCCACATCACACCCAACTAGCAAAGTAGTGGTATAAGCTTTTGGTAAAAGAACCGTTCAGCCATAAAAGCTCTCTATTGTTGTTGCCTGAACACCAAAATGCTGGCTTAATGTTGTGTGGAATGCAAATTTGCTTTCTGCAGCATATTTGCTCTAAAATGAGGCGTTTAAAATATTCTTGTAGCATAGTTATACAACACCTTATAGGGCAAATTTTTAACTGTTGCATAAACGTTTATACAACTATTTTATACGGCATATTTGCAAGTTAGTCAAAATGGTTGTGTTGTGGCACCCATGCTAACGTTTATAAAACAAACCCGAGCCTTGTTGCTTTGCTGTGCAATTTACTACAAATTGCTCCCAACGGAAGCACTTATACAACTGTTACATATGCTAAATATGTTCTCATCAACTTCACCATAACCTAACTTTCTGCTGTCATAGCTTTGTTAAAATGCCATAACCAATGTTTTAAGACAAACAAGGCATGCATATCGGTTCAAAAGGATTTATCAACTGTTCAAACAGAGGATATAGATCTGGTACAAATTCTGGGTAAATCATTCGACTCTGTCGGTATTTCATTTCAGACATTTTTCAAAGTGTTGTATAACACCTGCAGGCAACACCAAAATGTTCTAATAACCTAACGACAACATGGACGATGCCATGATTGTACACAACCACCCGCTATATTGGGCAAACATTTATTCCTCTATTTAATATTAAATAATTATGTTTCAGTTCGAAATTACAGATATAAAGTGATAAACATTAGTGCAATTGTGTCTAAATATAGGACATACTTTTGATCATTGTCAAAATATGAATCAAATACGAAGCCCGTAGAAATTGGGTAACTAGTTTGCACGATAATCACAATAAAATTTGCTGCGCAAGTAATTCAATAGCCCTATATCAAAGTGTAGAAGTTTATCATATACCTGTGTATGAAATTCACAATGGCCGATATGCAAGTAAACAAGATGACTGTAATGTGTTAGTCATATATTCTTCACTTCGTCTATACAATACGTAGGAAATAGTTTGGTTGCAATAAAGTAGAATCGCGTAAGAGAATAGTTGTCTAGTTGACAAAAACTGAATCTTGCACTGACGCAAATGTCCTATAGCGGCTGGAAGAGGCTTACACTTTTGTTTTATAACTGTTACCTGCAGCCCTTATACAACCTCTTAAATGACTGAAGTGTCCTATTAGGTGTGCCCATTCCGCTTGTATAGCTGTTCTAAGAGGGTTTTGCTAATGTTATTACAGTATACAATGCTGTTTAAGGAATTCTGTATAATCATTCTTGCAACTCTAATAGGACTGATAATTGTTAGTTGGGTAGGCTTTATATTTTGCAAAAATATATACCTCTTCAATTATTAACTGTAAGGTGCAAAATAAACTTACCGCGAGAAAAATAGCCCCAAAGCCACACGTTTTTTTATTGTGTGACCTACGTTTTCGAGATTATTATTTCAATGTGTCACAGTGGCAGTGACGGAAATCCTACCATGCGGAACTTACCTGATTTTTGACGGGCTTCCACCTCTGGTACTATCATGTGTCAAGATATTGTACGAGGGAAGGCAGCAGTTGGATGATGGCTGCATTGACTCATCCTGCTTCAAGAGCAGTGTTGTGATTCGATTACATTGGTGGAGTATTTAGAAAAGAATCAAAAAGACACGAATCCGAGGTTCATTCACATGACACCTTTGCAGGTTTATTGTATTTTAATGATAACTTTTGTTTTTAGATCCAACAAAGAAAAAATTCTGCGAATGTGGAAGAGGTTTCTCAAATAAATCTAACCTCAACAGACATCAAAGGCAATGTGGAAAGGAAGAGAAACTATATGTTTGCGCAGATTGTGGTCATAAAACTAACAGATCAGATAGTTTAAAAGTTCATCAAATCAATAGACATGGCTTGATGGAGTGAGAACTCTACATACTATTTTTTCTTAATACTATTTTGTACTGCAAAATGGAAAATAGAATGTGAAATAAAATTCTTGAGTTGTTGCCTTTTTCACTCACATACTATTTTCTGACAGGGTAACTCATATCTCGTATTTGAAGTAAAATGATAACGTCAAGTCTAGTTTCAAACTGGTGATCAATGGTTAGGATCAATGCAGTTCAATGGCGACTATACCGCCAGAATCAGCACCTAGCGGCCACAGTGGTGACCCGAATAACAAATAGCATCTGAAATACAGTTCAAACAGACAGCTTGCTGTTTCACTCACGCAGTGGTCGATTCCGGTAATAGATGACGCTTCGTCTTTTTGTGGCGATAGACCATAAATCGCTACTTGACCTACCTCACAAGTTTGACCAATGCAGATATCTAATGCCAAGTTAATTTTACATTTACACAATTCTAAGACCGATGTAAATAATTTTGTACATGTTTTCAAATGTACCACCGTATTTTTAGATTGTACCAAACATTACTGTCACTGTGGAAAAGCATTTGCATAAAAAACAGGTCTCTATCGGCATCGCAGAGGGTGTGGCAATGATCAAAAGCTATATCAAAATCAATGATCATGTTAACAAACAAAATGGTCGGTTCCGGTCCGAAACTAATCCCCGATGCTTGCATGAACGTCCATTTCACAGCCCTAAGCTAGTCGTGTGGGCTGGAATTACGTCAACCGGTATTAGGACCGTACTTTTTTGAGGACGAAAGAGGGCAAGCGATGACAGTTAAAGCTAACAATTATTGCAATATGAAATCAGACTTTTTGGTGCCAGATTTGCAAGAACTCCAATGCAATACCTCTAGAATGTGGTTTCAACAAGATGGGACCACATGTCATGGGTGGGTATCTATCGAGCTGCTGAAAAATGTCTTTCCCGGAAAAAGAGGGGATATTGAATGCCCACCACGTAGCACCGATCTTTCTCCATGCGATTATTTCCTATGGGGCTACCTCGAATCGGTGGTCTAAAAGAATAATCCAACTAATTTAGAGCAGCTGAAGAGGAATATTGTCCAGGAAAGTAACAAAATACCGAGAACAACTTTTCAACGAGTTTTCCAAAATCTGATTACATGACAATACTATGGTTTGGTCTTAGCTTAGATTGTCATTGAAATAGAACGAATGCTTTATATACAGGGTGATTTGGACAGTTTCTGAGATTGTAATGCACACTCATTCGGTTCTTCTTTTTTTTTGTGCCTTTTAGACCATTTGTCAATATGTGATTTTAAAAGTAAGTTTTTTATTTCCATTTCAGTTCAGTTTCTAAATTCACGTTTTTTATGTTTGGTGATTTTAGATTTGACCAGGAAGTTCTATTGCGAATGTGGAAAAGGTTTCAAGCAAAGATCAAACCTATGTAGACACCGACGGGAATGTGGAAGAAATGATAAACTGTATTTTTGTAATATGTGTGATCATAGTACAAACAGATCTGACAGTTTAAAGCAACATTACTTAAACAGACACAATATATTACATAATTAAAGGCATGTGTAGTGTTTGATATTAAACTTATTTCACCATAATTCAACTTGGGATTGGGCAAATTAGTTCATGAATCTGGCAGATTTAGGGATGACACTGCCCTCGATGTTGCTCTTCTAGGAGTAGTATAATATTTTTTGCCAATTTATAACCTGTCATTTCAGATCGGATCAAGAAGTACTTTTGCGAATGTGGAAATGGGTTTACCCAAAAGCATAATTTTTTCAGACACCGAAAGTTTTGTGGAAGAAACTCCAAACGTTACGCTTGTACTTTGTGCAGCCTTACGACCAAAAGATCTGATACTTTGAAACGACATATGCTGAGGATGCATACCAACAATAAATAAGTAAATAAACATTTCTTTGTGTTTTACTAATTAAATCTACTCTTCATTTCTTACTAATTGTACGAGAGAAGATGTTAGAATACTATGTCAATTTAGGATTCTGCTATAAATGAGAAGAATTTGGTTAACATAGTAACAAAGGATTACCCTGTATATTTCACGCAGTCCTTAATAGAAAATTACGGGCTGGAAGTAGGCTTGTATATCTAATACACCAGGTGTAACTAAAGTAGCGGAACGGTTTCGTACTTTTTCAAGTGAGGCATTTTTAATTAAGTCCCGAGGTCGGAACTATACTACCGTTGGACAATTCTTTGAAATTTGGCAGGATCATTGCAGAAAAAAATCAAGGTTTGCCCGTCAGTAACTTCAAACCAAGATTCTTAATATTGACCTTGGCTTTGACCGTGAATCTCATCTTCAAGGTTAATAGTGTCCTATTATTAGAACGTAGAGTTTTCCACTGTTGGGGCCAAAAAGGAGCGTTCCTAGTTTAAAAAAAGACTGACCTTCAAATAACTTTAACTCAGGATCACCATTGAAATCTTTGTTATCAGTTAATAAAGACCCATCCTTATTAATGTTCCGATCAATAATCATGCGAAACTTCTAAGAATTTTCCTCAACCTCACACGCTTGACCTTCAATCGTCCTTTAGTGGTTACCTTGAACTTAGATTTCAATACATATTCGGACGTAGAATTTCCCCCTCTCAATTGCCGGTGTTCAAAAGAAGTAAAAAAAACTTGATTTTGAAATAAATTTGAAGGTAAGGATCAAAGTCCAAAGTCACCTTTCAACCGCTTGTTCAAAGTTAGGAAAGACCTCACATTGACGTTGTCAAAAATACCTGTAAAAATACAGGGCCGTAACTTTGATATCCCCCGTACAAAGTCAAGTACTAAATTGGAAGAGTAGCAGAACTCATCGCGCGCCACTGCTAACGCAATACCTTTGTGTACGTGTGCGTGGACCTCATAAATCTCAAAAAGTACATTGCAGGCATGTGCCGGCTGTTCCAAACGAATTGTATCTGGTCGAGCACATGTCCATAACATGTTCAGGACCCTCAGAACAAATGTGACATCATTTCTTTTGATGTTTGCAACATTTTATAATAGCTGATATTCTGCAATCTTTATGTAGAAAATGCAAAAAACAATATAGGCTATATATAGCATACCTAAGTGAGATTAAGTTAATTTCTAAAAATAAATAAAAAAAAAATAAAATAGCTTGTATTCATGTTTAACATATAATATTTTCTTTTGTATTAATATTTTTTCCACATTGTTATGAATAATAATGCCATTCGTTTATTGTTCTTCATTGTATTGTTGAAGCAATTACGATTATAGAAATTCGCCGAGCGCCGGTAGTTACAAACGTTGCTCAGCAGCAAATGAATACGGGCGGCTCTTGTCTGATATGGCCAAATGCTTAGCCCATTGATGGGGCCTGAAGTTACTTTACCCCCTGGTGCGAAAGAAACCTGTGGGTTAAGAAGTTGGTCTTACCGCTCGATAGTAAAGATATAGTTAATTTTGTCGCTCTCGCAGGCTGATGTTATTCAAAAGACTCATTGAAATATTTATATAATAATAATAATAATAAAATAATAACGATCTATATAATCTTCTATTGTCTAGTTTGTGTGCATTGCCTGCATGAATATCAAGATCTAGAAAAATGCAATTGTCTGCACGTATTTTACATTATGTAGAGATGCAGACAATGTCCCCGTCACTGCCATAATCACTTGGCGCATCTTTGTCTCCAGCTCTTGTGGTGCAATGAGTTGCACACTCCATTTCTGGCAAATGTGTGGATATGTGTTGCAGCGCAAATTTGTTGTAAAGGAGACGTACTTTGAGACGCCAAATCAACAGTGGCGGACGATGCCTTGCGCTGTCCACTTTTGATGTACTTGACTTTACTAACTATACTGTACTTCTGCGTGTCCGTGTATTTTATATTGAATAATTTTAGATCCGACCAAGAAGTATTTTTGCGACTGTGGAACAGGATTTACTAAAAGATTCAACCTAAACAGGCATCAAGGGCGTTGTCTAAATGAGGAGAAACGTTATTGTTGTACAATTTGTGATCACAGAACGAATAGATCTGACAGTTTGAAAACACATTATCTGAAGATGCATAAAATACATATTTAATCTTTGACATGTTGTGTTTTAATTAATTGCAACTCACATGCTCCTTTTGGGATCAATCTGGCACCTGCATATTTTAATTTTCAAAAATCCTTGCTTATCTACAATCTCGACCGAAACCTCTTTCTTGTGTAAATCCGGACAAATCTGTTATTACTTCCTATGCCACTGGCGAGAAAGTATTGCAATCGCAAAAACGAGGTATGTTTTCTGGATGTTATATGACAAGAAGTCATGCCACGGATCTTCGTCGTCTGTCAGTAACATATGTCTGCTCGTAGCATTTGGATGACATTTTCACACAAGGTTATTACATTGTCAAGGCCGGGACAGCTTTGTAGGTTTTGAAAATCGGTCCAGCAGCGGCGGCTATGGGGCAAATACAAAAAAATATAAATCGCTCACCCCTCATTTTTTACGTTTCATATAGGGTCCTAACCATTTTCAAAAACTTTTTTTGTAGAGGCTATGCCTCCAACCGCGGTAATTCTACGCACCTATTAGACATATTTCATACATTTTAGATTTTCCCATACAATTGCCCTTGAAACAATGATAGATAAATGTTTTATGGTTTGTTCGTACAGTGGTCGGTGACTTATTGGCAACTGTGTCTGGGATCCGGCCGTGTGAATTCCGTCTAAATAGCATAGCAGAATGAACGAAATTTGTGTGGCGAACAGGGCTTTAGATATAGGCCTATTTGACTGACTTGATCTGTTTAATTTCTCTGTTACGCATGTTCGTATCTATTTTGTTGTTTATCAGATGGTCTAACTTGTGCTGAATATAATCTTTTACAAACGGCGTTACTTGAGGACTTCTTTGACGCCATTTTTTCCTTTGTGATTGGCGAAAGGCCCCAAAAATCTCATTCTCCTACTCCAAATAGAGCAATGTGATAGTTTAGCATTTCTTCATGACCATTTTGTCATATCATCCTCCCAGATCACACAGTTTCTTTCATATATGGGCGCGAAGGGCAAACATGGGAGTTTTGTGTGGCGAAAACCGTTGCGTTTCGTCAATCTAGACAAAAGTAATTTCTAGGGAAAATCATTTGATGCCACTTTCTTTTCGAAATCGCCGGCAGCGCCTAAAAGGCCTTTCTTCTTACTCCAAATACGACCCTGCGACTTTTTTTAGGAGTGTTTGATGACCCTATTTGATATCAACTCCACTACGGAATGTACCGGGGCGGCCATTAAAAAGGACGCAAGCAAAGAGTCATTTAACATACAGATTAAATAACCCTATCCTATTGTCAGCTCAATTTTTTTTGCTTATATCATTTTTTCATATTTTGGTTAGTTTAGGGTGGAGGACGGGTTGAATGTCATTTCAGAAAACGTCACATAATTTCTGTTTGGTTGCACCGATTTTGATGATCCCGATTTCGTTTGAAATAGTATGTACCTCCGCTTCCGAAGAATCTGGTCAGCTTAGTTGAGTTTGTGGCCGCTAGATTGCGATTTGTGGATGTGTCAAAGCCTTATAAATAATATGGTGATCAGATCAATATATTTATTTTATGATCTAGGATTTATGCTAGAAATAATTATGTTTGTAAAATGTGCCAATATGACACGATTTTAAGATATTTCAGTATAAAAACTATTTTTGCGCTTTTTCATAATTGCTGTTGGGCGTGGCATTCAAAAAACTTGTGCAATCATACTTGTAAAGTATACAGTTAAGGGTGTAGTGACCCCTACGTGTAACTGAACAAAACAAATTATAGAAGCATACCTGTCAACTATACGTTATGTATCTAGCCGCTAATAGGTTAATCTAGTCGCCCAGTTAAAATTGAATCCGATTGAATGAAAATCCCATGAAATCCCAGCGATACCGAATGTAAAGTAAACATAATATATGTATAGGTCCTATAAGTATTATAGACGAGTTTTTCAATGTAGGATATAGTAAACTAACAAGGTTTTTCCAGGTAAACTGAAGTACGACAGATCATCAGAGCAAAAGCGGTTACATCATTGCTCCAAGTGCGGGAATACATTCACCAGGGTCGACAACTTGAAGAGACATCAAAAATACGTCTGCGGCATGCCGCCCCAATTTCAGTGCATTTTGTGTTCATATGCTACTAAACATAAGTACGTTCTGGCCGTTCACATGAAGTCTAGACATCCTGACGTGATCGTTGTTGATAACAAGTGGCATGCTGGTTTGAAAGGTCATTCAGAAGATTGGAATGATGAGAAGTGATTGTACGGACGTTACAACAGCTGAAACTTTGATACCTTACCAGGATAGTGGTCTCACATATTGAATATCTTACATAAATTACATAAATTCGTAAAATTAAATTTCGAGGTGGATCTTGCTGAGACTTGTGAATTTCTGAGTAAGCCGCCATCAACTGTACTAATTCAAAATATTTCTGCCCAATTTTTAACAAACGAGTTATTTTGGTAGAGTATCCATATCCTGGAGCTTCAGTTCTTGAATAGAGTTATATTGTGTGTTCTCTTTCCTCAGTTAGCAATGACTTTCAAAAAACACGACCGACAATACAAACCTAAATCAAATCCAAGCGGATAACCAAGATTTCCGTATTATGTACCGCGGTTATAATATGGTTCAAGATGACACACGGGATGGTGACGTCAGTTACTCGAATCGCTTGAACGCCTTGGTTTTAACCGCGGTTTGTTGCAAGTTGTTTATTTTAGAAAAGCGCGTATATAATTTCTGATTATTTTTATTATCACTTAATAATCGGTGCTTTTTCGTCTACAACGGGGTATGGAAAGTTGAAAAAAAGAAAACTTTCATAATATTAATGGGAGGAATGTTTTTTTTCCGAACAAAATTTTTACTGATGGAACCATGGCTTTGTAGCTATGATAACTTTCAATTCTCTAAACTTTTCCGCATGTCAAAGAAAATATTTATTGATTTAGCAAAAATGATGAAAAAGCGATGAAAAAAAATATTAACAAAACCGTATACAGGTGGACATCATCCAGTGAGTTTATACGGCCATATTTTAATATTCTTGTGGTATATGGCTATACAGGATACTTTTTTAAGTGTAAGAACTAGATTTAAAGTGTCCCCAACAACAGTGATGATTATAAATAATGCTAAAACTGAAGTCAGCCTGTATCAAGTTTCCCAAAAACGAAGCTGAAGTACAATAAAAATATCCAATACCCGGCAAAATTCTAACTTGTCACATGTCAAATAATAACCAGAAATATAAAACTACTCCGGAGTTGGGTAAATACCACAATTTTGCGGTGATAACTATGACATATAACAGCTGATTCGTGACGTCACGGATCTTATAACCAAACTGATAACTACAACCGCTTGAACGGATTGGTAAATACCAAGCCAAAATGGTAAATACCATTTCCATTTGGTTATCCGCTTGAATTTGATTCTAGTGTATCTATTTCGCACCATGCAAACTTTATATTAAGTTCAAATTACGCACAGTCAGAAACGCTTGTATTGACAACCTATACATTCTGCGGGAATTACAACTGTTCAACTTATAATTTTATTTACACCTTGATATAAAGTGTTAATTATTGGATTGTTATGTGCATAACAAGTTACATATATTTGATAGGCATTTTTAAGGAAAACCAATCTGCATTATGCTCCTGGTCTTAATCAACTAACTCTAAGTTTCAAGTTAATGTAGCATTATCTTCAAAGGATGTTTTTTTAGAGGAATGCATGATGAACAATCTGTGATCAGTTTTTATTTAGTATTTTGGTTTTTGATTTTTGATCCGTGTATACATCATTTTGTTTTTCTTTTTTGTTCTCTACCTGTTTATTCCAGTTTAGATGTTCTATGGCTAGAGTACTATTATCAATAAATATGTTCTTATTGGTCTTGAGATTAGGATTTTTTTGTTCTGTGGTTCTCATTCTACTTTTATCTGCACATTTTTAAAACTCACTTTATGTAAACATATTTTAGAAACACCTGACACCTATTTTAGCAAGTTACGGAAGCACGATATGGTTTTTTTGAATGCATACAATCACTATTTTAGACACCTTAGGTTGTGTCAATTCTTGTTGTAACCCTGTAGCAGTTTGGAAGAATTTCCATCAAAACACAAGCTTAACGTAATTGGTGTATAGTTCTAACAGAACAATGGTGTCACCAATAATAAGGACTGACATCCTATTGTTGAATAGAACGAAGTACAAATTCATTATGATACTATGTAAAGTTTTTTACGGATCTGCACGTGCCTTAGTACACAGATTGATCTTTTTTATTCTTCCAATAGAAATAATAATTATTATACATTTTGACTGTTAAGTTTTACACTGATCTAGACGTTTTACGTATACATATTATGTTATATATAATCATATTGTTAAGATTTCTATGACATTATGAGTAAGGCATCGTATTTAAGTAACTAGATTAGGACCTTATTGATTCACTATTGTACATGAAACTGATATATTTTTATAACTTTCATAATAAAACACAGCTTGCAACAAATTGGTTCGTTATTGGCAATCAAATAGAATTGAATTATTTTTTCATTTATACACAAAGAATAAAAAACTTTTGCGTATACTGTAGTATCCAGATACTTTGTAAGTCTGAAAGCGTCAGAGTTGCCTAATGAGCATAAAATAGGCACTGGGACAAAAGACCTTTTACGTTCTTGCCACTCTCTAGACAACCTTAACCTTGTACTGTATTTGTTTCCACTTCGTTGTTTCTTGTTTTAAAAGCGGCAGTAATTTCATAATGTGCAGCAACTCTATTTCAACCCAACTGGACAGTTACGAGAAGCAGACGTCTACATATACGAGTACATAAATATACAGTGCCCCCACTTATTTATTTTTTGATCGATTCAAGTTAGTAAGCTGAAATTTGGGATGTTGAAAGTAACACATAAATGCTATATTTGAATGTAATGATAACAAGATGGCGGCTGCGCGCCATTTGGTACATTTTGTAAACGTTATAGGGGCTCGTTTGAAACCTCCTTTCAAAGCTCCATATGAGCGCTGTCAATTTGAGCATTGAATCTCTTATAATCCGACAACTAATCATTAAAACGTTAAAGTTTGTCTATCAATCTTCTTCTTTTGGAGGGGTCTATCTGAATGGGCAAGTATTGGACGTTCAGTTTCGAAACATACTCTTATTTTGACAATTTTTTGAATGAAACGTTCCATATTTTATTACATATTCGGATAGACCCTTCCAAGAGAAAAATATTGGTATGACATAATATAACGCCTTGATGAAAATTTTGTGAGTTATAACCTACTCAATGTACAAAAATGGTCATACGTTCAAATGTTACAGCCGGCCAGTTCGCCATTTTGAAAGATAGCATTTTTATATTTTAGGGATATAAGGGACTCGTAGGGAGCTTCAAAGTGAGGTATTACATGACCTCATTCTATTTAAAAAATGTTCCAGAATGGCCCACATCTGTTATCTAGAAATTTTAAACTGCCTCTTGACGTTAAAAGATACTATTTTTGCATCAATAGTCTGTACTGTGACAATAATGTATTTTTCAGGAGCTACAGAATATCGTTGTGACTTTTGTAACAGGTTTTACCAACACAAGAACTCATTGGTGCGACATCTGAACTTGGAATGTGGAGTCGAAAGGCAGTTCGAATGTAAAGTGTGCCATAAAAAATTCAAGCAAAATCATCATTTGAAGTATCACTATCTTGCCATATGTCAAAAACGAGAACAAACATTCAAATGAGAGAAAAATAGGTGATTAGGTTAATAACATGCTATATTCATGTAAGGAGATCTTTAGATTGTTAAAAAATATACGGCAAGTCAGTCGAATGCAAAATGTTTATTCGGTCATTTTGGATTTATTTTAGTTATCAATTGCGGTGGTCTGTTTTTTATGCTGACATCATTTCGTTGCTAAAAATAAATGTTATGTACCTTGGTACCTTTTTTCTTTTCTTTCTTTCTTCTGGGATGACCATCAATTCATAATATAGGTCCAGTAGAATCACTCTGGCTAATATTTGGTAGCCAAGCAGGCTGCAGACAGAAGCAGAAACAGAGCGGTACATTGTCGGACTGTGTTTTCAGCGCTATTTGTTCGTCGTTCAATAATTGCTAGATTACATTATGAATCAAACAGGTTCTGCATGTGGATGACTGTTTTGAGTCCGAACAATGGCCATGAAAATAACTCAAGTGAAGAAGCTATGAGTACCTCTACTCCTGTAATTCGGAAGTTACAATACTGACTGACACACAAGTACTGCTGTGTTGCATATATCGCAAAGAATTGTCGTATAGCTAAAATGTCTCTTAGCCGCATTTGATGAATTTGAATGTAAATAAGTTTACAAAATTCGATTCTTTTAACAGTTATTTATGGGAAGCGTGTACACATAAGTATAAATACAAATGTGTGAGGAATAATCCTTGAAAAAAAAAGTTGAAATTTCGTGGTTTTGCAAAAGTGTGGCAATAAACAAACAAATTGATGGTGTCATCAAAAAGCATGTAGTGTCGCGTGCGAGTATGCCCAAATAAACCATTAAAGTACGGAGAGAGACACGACTCAGGCCGAATGATGATAGGATTACATAGTGAGCACATCTAAATGTTATATAGGCTTGTATGTCCAGTCTTCCATACAAGTCACTATGGGCTGCTCTGATCTGGTCGTTCGCCGATCGCCGATCGCTTATGTGTCGGAGTCTGAAAATAGTATTGGGGAATTGTAGCTTCTGGGTTACTAATTTTGTGTTTATAGTCTTCTTACTTGCTCCCTGTTGGTATTTGGACGTTACCACGATAATAATTACTGGATGCTTAAGGTTTAGGCTTTTTGACATATTGTATCCGCTAGTACTAAATCAATATATCTGCAATATTATATTGAATGATTGTAGGACAAAAAATACATCAGGCCGTGAGCATCTTCAAGCGTACGAAATAAATTCGTAGAAACTGAAACTTTTAAGGTTGTTCCTGAATTAATAGAATTTTTCCGTACTGTGACGTACTATAGTGCTGTTATAGCCAATTTTGAAAAAATGTCAGCCGGGTAACCCGTGGTTCAACGATTTTGTTTATGTTTTGAAAACGAATTTGCGATAAACTATTTTGTATCAAGTTAGACGAGTTATATATTTTGTATAATAATTCGGTTATTATCATATATATTATTAAGCATGGTAAGCATTGAGCACGTTGTACTGGTATTAGAGAATAATCACAGTTTTTTTCCAGATGTCTTCGCCTACCAATGTCAGAAATGTCCAAAGGCATACAAATACAGATCTAACCTACTAAGGCATCGACGATTTGAATGTGGAGTTTTTCCACAGTTCATTTGCAAAATATGTGGAAAACACTTTACACAAAAAAGTAGTCTTAAGTCCCATGTGGCTTACATCCATGGTTTCTACCTCTCAACTAAGCATAACTAAAATATTGTCCCTTTGCACTATGTTGTTTAAAAAGGGATCAAGACTGAGAGTTCCCTGTTTTTTACAGTTAAAAGTTGCTGATTTAGGGTTTTTATTTCACTTGTTATTCATTTACTATATCACTGATGTCAGTAAATAACATGTATAATTGCTTAAGATTAATGAAGTCATATTTTTGACGTAATGTAAACCGGGCATTTCTTAAAACTTGGTACGTTTTATTACTTGTGAATTTTCTTAATGACTATTTAGTTCAAATGTGCATTAGAAATATCGATTCAAAACTATAATATGGTACAGTTAAAAGATCGATAAATGCAATTTTTTATTACAAATTCTTCCAGCTTTGCTATATAAATTACGGTTTTTTATTATTACAAATAATAATATTTTATTTCTATGATAAAGTACGAAAAAGATTAATTTTCAATGCATATCTCGTAGCAAAAGCTTAGCGAACCTCACGTACATTACAATATTATTACTTTTAAGTTCCTAGTCATTTACTACTCAGATCTTTTAGAGCGTTATCTTTGTTCTTTACACCAACCAGCGTTGTTTTGTTATTTGTATTTTGATACATGTGCATGAATGAATGTTGAAAATTTCATTATTTTAAGTGAATCTATCTAGTCATAAACTTTTTTTAACAGCTTATTTTGAAGACAACAATAAATGCTGATAAACATGAGCTATTTTTAATAATTTCCTCTGGAACCTAGAATACAGAGTTTAGTGAGTTCAGATTCCAAATTAAGTGTATAAAGTCCTACATAAATATATTTCTAGGGTTTTATGAAGAAAATGGATTCTACCACTGTGCCCATTGTGGAGCAAGATACTTCCATCGAAGAAGTGTTGTGAAACACGTTAACATGGAATGCAAGTTAGATTTTAGGTTTCAATGTAACATTTGTAACATTATGTTCTATAGCAAAAATCAACTAAACGAACATTTTCATGAGAAACATTACATTGTTGCTAAATAGATCGAAATCTTAGCGTGAATTATTACTTACTTTTAGGTGTCTTTGTGTACTGATAATATTCCAAAGAGAATAGAAACATAAATGATAAAGTTTGTAAAAAACAATGAGATTATCCTGTTTCGACCAACGAATTCGAATAGGTTAAAAGGAGCAAATGATAAACCTGTTGCCATTTGTACTGGGTGTACTCACTACAAAAGATTAGAAATACTGCCTCTGCCTGTGTTGTGATGCGCGCCTCTCAGTTATTGTTAATAATCAGGGATACATTAATTAAGGCAAAGAAACGAAAGCAAATATTTATTAACGGTTCAGCATATGAACAGCTCTGGTTTAAGAGCAGCAATTGAGAAACATCTGACATTGGAAATAATAGAATACCTCCCTTGAACTCATAAATGCTGAACGCAAATACCCAGTTGAGTATAATGTGGAAACCACTTATAACCATTATCGCTATATTGATCTACGAAAAAGATTTCGAAGTGGTCTAATTAGTTGGATACTCATTGTTTTTTTATGGAATTCTGAGCTTCCTCTACAAAATCGTGGCAATAAAATGAGATAACGTAAAATTACGCGAAAGTAAAGCCCTTTCCTAAATTTTAGATTCAAAATGAAAGTAGAGGAGACTCAAAGTTAAAGTTTCGGTTGACCGTCTTGCATTTTTCAACTTCAACAGTTTCATAGAAAATACTAAATTAATGCGAAATGTCGACTTGAAGGTGCACGTGCATCGACTAGTGATTACGTAATTTTAGATCAAAGCAAATCATATGAAAGCTCCTTCCGCCTAATTCGAAGTCACTGGTTTTGATCTAGTTACAACTGCTGACTACTAACTTAGTGGCTAGTGTCATAAAAATAACTGAAAGGTTTTTCAAACTGTATGCGAAATTGTGAAATAAAGGGTTTTACATCAAATTGTGGCTTCAATTCTGTAAATACATTTTTCTGATATTTTTACTAGAAATAATCATCAAATCTTTTAGATTCTGGATTGCTTGAAAGGACAGAGTTATGATAGTGATACAATATATGAAGATTTAGACTTGAGTCTGGTTATCTACAAAGTCTGCTTGACCAGTACTTTGTTTTATTTCTGAAGCTACAGAATCTAACTGCTCCTTCATACAAAAATACTCCTGAAGAAAACAGCAAACTGGATTACCCTCATATTGAATATGCTTGCCACTCATATCCCAAATGTAGTGTAGCTTTGTTCTATCTAAGTGCCTGTACCGTTAATCAGTGCTGTTATGTCTGAAAATAGGGGTCAACCTTTATGACTTAAAGATGATGTTATTGTTAAAATAATATTTTTCCCAGATTACCCCTCAAGTTTTATTTGGCTTTTTTGTGTGCATTTTCAATGGTATTAATTCAGTTGTATAAAAACCAGCTGGCAGTTTGTTATTCAAACTATTTGTAGGTCATGGTTACTTTGAAAAAGATGGATTTTACAACTGTTCAAGCTGCAGTAGACGTTACAAACACAGGTGCAGCGCTTGGAGACATGTAAACTACGAGTGCAAGCTGGCAAAAGCGCACAGACATCCTTGCTTCCTATGTCCCCAGATTTTCGTTTCAAAAGACAGTTTGAAATGTCATATATTTCGCGATCACAAATAACTGTTTAGGATGCTTTAATAATGTTTGTTTCGCCATGAAAGTGTGTTAACTTTACTTACCATAAACTGCGATTCGCAGAAAAATCACTTTTTGTTTTACTACGGTTCGATATATGTCACCGTTTACGATTTCCCTGCTATGGTTCTGGCCACATACTGCCGTTATGGGAAGCCATACTGATTATTTGACTATTTACCATGGTTTTCTGTACAATATTCCGAATTTTTTAAATATGCCTCCACTGAGAAAATTTGCTACCTACCGCTCTCCAAAAACTTTTGGAGGATTATACACCTTCATAGTATAGGGTTGTCAAAACGGACGCAGGAAAGTAAACGCATATTAAAACAAGAAGGATTGATATTCAAATCAAGTTGGGTACTTTATTTTGTTATGTATGAAAAATAATATCGCTCAAATGTTCACCACGACTGGATTTACAGACGTCCACGCGATGGTCGAAATTTTCAATGACATTTTGCAACATGGTCGGTTCTATGGCATTTATCTCGGCAATGATATTGTTTTTGAGTTCTTGGAGGGTGGCTGGTTTGTTGACGTAGACTTTGCTTTTCAAATATCCCCATAAAAAGAAGTCCAAGGGAGTCAAATCGCACGATCTTGATGGCCATGGCACATTTCCTTTGCGCGAAATCACGCGATCACCGAAGAAGGACGGCAATCGATGGATATTGACGTTGGTTGTGTGGCATGTTGCACCGTCTTGTTGGAAATAAACATCACCCATATCCATTCCTTCAAGTTGCGGCAAAAAATAGTCCTCTATCATCACGTGATATCGCTCAGAATTGACGGTAACGGCGTCAACGGCCGCATTTTCGAAAAAGTAAGGTCCGATGATGCCTTTTGACCACAATGCACACCACACAGTCACTTTTTGAGGATGCATCGGCTGCTCTTGATACTCACGGGGATTTTCGTTCGCCCAGATACGGCAGTTTTGCTTGTTTACCGTCCCATTCAAAGTGAAATGCGCTTCGTCGCTGAACATGATTTTTGATGAAAAATTGGCATCAGTTTGGCGGTGTTCAAGGAGCCAATCTGAGAACGTTCGGCGCGAAAAATGGTCGGCCCGACGCAGCTCTTGCGTCAATTGGATCTTGTAGGCGTGTACATTCAAATCCTTGAGGAGGATGCGGAGCAAACTGGTTCTCGAAATGCCCAATTCTTGGGATCGACGCGTTGTTGATTGTTTCGGATCGTCTCTCACACTCTCCTTCACAACAGCAATATTTTCCGGTGTGCGAACGCTCCTTGGCCGGCCAGAGCCTGGCAGATTTGCCACAGAACCTGTTGCCTCGAATTTACGCACCAGACGACCGATGGTTGTTTCGTTTGGGCGGTTGTTGCGACCGAAATGTTCACGAAGCGCGTGGAACGTGTTTTTTTATTTTTGCACCATTTTTGTAGTGCTCTTGAATAACTTTAATGCGGTCTTCAATCGAATACGACTCCATAGCGATCAATGGTAAACATTCAACTAACAAAATGACATGTCGGTGGCAGAAAACAAAGATGGCGTCTATGTCAAATTGACGTTTACTTTCCTGCGTCCCTATTGGACAACCCTTTATACAATAAGTTTCCTCTTGCTGATGAAAAATTGCTGCGGGCACGCAAGAGCGTTGCCGAGTTGTACCTTCACTCCTCGATATGTGCATTAGATCGCGATTTCAAAACACGTAATCACACGTATCAATCTTAGCAACATGAGGTAAGTTTTCGTCTAGTTTGTTCACGATAAATTTGGGAGAATTTTAAAACTTCCCTAGCCGCTTTTTTTTATTGTAAAACTTAAACTGAAACTATTAGCCTTCTACTGATGCGAATGAAAAAATTGTTTTAGATCGAAGACCCTTTCACCTATTGTACCTTCATTTATTATGCTTTCGAATGCCATACGCCTCATAAGAGACTGGAACCGTTATCCATTCTTCCATCAGGTTCTTATGAGAATGTAGCATCTGAGAAGTGTGATTAGGTTATTGAGTTAAACGTAGTATAATGAAATTTTGATTTTAGGCAAATTTTACTGTAATGAAGAAGGCTACTTCTGCTGTGCAACATGTCACAAAAGATACAAACGAAAACACGGTTTATCTCAACATCAGAGATTGGAGTGTAACAAGCAACCACAATTCCTGTGCAAGCTTTGCCCAAAAGCTTTCAAACAGAAAAGCAATTTGAAGGTTCACGTATATTCCGTTCACAAAGTTCCATTTGAGTCTTAAATAGCATGGAAGATGCTTGAAATGTTTAATAAGTATTGCTATAGACTGAACTAAAATAGAAATAGTTATGAATCTAGTCATATGTATTGCAATATCGCAAATATAAGTTAACTACACATTTTAATATAATTCTAAAGTTTCCTAATAAACCATTTGGCCGTAGGTAATAGTGAATCATTCAAATCAAAAGGTAAAATATAGGTATTTCTTTACTGCACAGAACTTGCCCCTAGAAATGATAGGTTCAAGCCAACAGCGAATTCCTATCGGGATGTGTCAGAATTAGACAAAGTAACTAGATAATATAATCCATGTCAAAATAAAAGTTAGGCTTGCAAAAATTCCCACAAAGCTGAAAATGGGTATCGACTTGAACACCATTGTGAGTAATATATCAATACTCCTCGTATATCATTGGAGCGGAATCTTATCTGAAAGCGAAAGAGGTACCACAAAAATATCTTGTACAAGAATTGTAGATAGTACGATTATCTATAAAAGCTGAGCAAGTACTTTCATTCATTGAGTCGCCGTTTATGAGATCTAGTGATCTGTGGACTCTCAAGTACTATTCTGCTCTTATGTGGCATATATTATGTATACGCCATCAACCGTTTCATATGAACATATATGTTGAAGCATTGATGTATGCGACATGCATTCCATGACACAAAAAAGAAGTCAATAGTATTGATCCGTACCATCCAAACATATCCTAGTCTGCTTATCGCTCAAAGTGAATAAAAAGGAAATCGAATTTTCGGAAAACGTCATACCCAGTTGAAAATTGTTTCATTTTCATACCTTTAATATGTTATTAACATTGATTGATACGTCAAAATCCCCCAACGACCTTTGGTCAAATTGTTGTATTTGGAGGTTACATATCAAAATTAACATTTTTTATATTTCTTTAAAACGATACCCCTAACCACAAAAATAGCTGACACCAAAATTGCAGAGCGTGAAAATCTCTATAAAACTTACCCAACTGCATTTTTGCGAGCCGCTGTTCTTGCGTTTCTTGATCTATAGGATCTAAGACACTGCTACTCAGACGGGGCATTATTGATCGGTTGATATGAAGTGAGATATGAAAGCAGTGGTATACGCTGGTCGTACTAACATATGTATATACATACCACTTATACAAGGTGTTAAAAAAATATGCCAATGTCTTCGTAAAACAATTGCAAGAAGAGCTGTAATAACAACTGCAGCAGTAAGACAGAAGTTCACCCTGTTCGTCAGTAAGCAGCAATTGTCAGGGGTCAATCATGCTGTAATGCTAAGCCGCATATAGCTGAAGGTGAGAATGCCGAGAAACAAAACTGAGAAATTCTAAATCTCTTTGTCAATATATATTTATAGAAGTGAAGTGAAATATTTGGATCGTGGAGTATGCCTGCTGGGGAAACAACGTTAAAGAATGCTCCAGGTAACCTCATAGGTGGAGTGGAAATATATAGATTATTATGAACTTTGACGACCTCAATATGCACGACTTCCCGTACGTTCATTTTGAACGCACCTTAAGCAGACCAGTATGTGTTTGAATGGCCCGGATCAATACTATTACATTCTCTTTGAGTTTTCAAGTATTTTGCGTTCAATTATTTTGTATCCAAATCTTTGATTGCTTATGAAATGAATCTTTAGAAAAACCATTTACAATCTTTATTGAGACACTCTTTATCAGTAGTATGTATTTTAACATAAGTCGCATACATCAATGCCTATATATATATATATATAACTTGAGACGTGGTCATTGTCGTCTAGACCAGTTAGGTGAAAAATTAAAGCTTCTGCCTTTTGTTGGGTACTTCGACAAAATTTAAGCAAAGAGGACTCTTTATACTTTTTTTAATTCTCTCTAGCTTTCAATGGACTTTGCCATCATCATCAGGAGCTGCAATTACAATGATAACAGTAGCAACAAAAGTGTAAAATGAATTTAAATTGACTCAACTTACAGTAGTATGTGAGGATGTTGCTAATTGTTGTTTTCGTATAGGATGAGGGAAACGTCCAGTAACATGGTGAGAGCTGGATACATGGTACAATGGTTAAAATTATATAAAATATGACAAGACAAGTTAAAGACAGATTAAAAATTATTTAGAAAACATTAGAGCATTACGTCGTGAAGCCACTTGATGATTGCACAAAATGGTGGTCATGGAATAATGAGTGAGATGAACCTTTGACAGAAGACCGAAGGTTGTCAATGTCTGTATTGAAAGACGGAACGAATCATATATATATTATATATATATTATATATATATTATATATATATTATATATATATATATTATATATATATATATTATATATATATATATTCATATGGAACGGTCGATGGCGTACACATAGTATTATGCCGCATAAGATCAGAAGAGGATCGAGGGTCCACAGATCATTAGATCTCATAAACGGTAACTCCAGGAATAAAAGTATTTGAACAACTTCTATATATAATTGCATTCTCTACATTTTTTTTGTGAGGTATATCCTTACCTTTTAGAGGAATATGACAAAACCTGATATTTAAGGTATGTGGCAATTTTCAGCTTTGTGAGAATTTTTGCAACCCTACAATATAGAGTCTTGGCAAATACATATACCGCATACGTAAACGTTAACGATGAGCTATAATCCATTGACTTAAAATGTATGTACCAATTGTAACTGATAAAGCTTCTAATGCCGCCTAGCTACGTACTGATTGACTGGCCCACCGCAAAAATCCGTTCAGAAAACCTCGTCAGCTAGATTGACTCACAACTTTCCTTAAAAAGTTTAAGAGTAAAAACTGTTTTCCAAGATTTTACTATATCACATGGCCCTGTAAGCTCTGTAAATTTCAGAAGTCCCAATTTTGGATGGAGAAGGATACTACTGCTGCACACAGTGTGGCAGGAGATACAAAAGGAGGTTTCACTGGATGCGTCATGTGAAATATGAATGCAATAAACCACCACAGTTTAACTGTACACTTTGTGACCGGGCATTCACGCAGAATGGCACCCTTAAAATACACATGGCGCTCAAACATACTCCACACGATGCTTTGGATCTTTAACAGACATCTATTTTTGGAATTATTATTACGTTACCTGATTTGGAAATGATCTTTTTTTTTGTAGAGCCCAGACGAAAGGAATAAATAACAGCTGCGAAATTAAAACTGTGTTTATCTTTACCACAACAACCAAAAGCCAGTGAGCGTGCTACCTTTCTGGAATATCTTGATTCTTTTGGACTGGCTCCCTGCCACATCCTGTATAATGAGCTAAACGACCCAATTATTAACTATAGGCAGTATTATATCAAGCTCTAATTCATACCTAAGCTAACGAAGAGTCATAGAAATATACAGTATTGCTCAAAGAATAATTGAAATATTTATTAAAAAAATGTTCATCAGTTTAACGCTTATGTTTCCCGACACTGAGATCCGTGCACACGTACACAAAGACACACCGCGTTAGCTGTGGCTTACGGTGAGCTGTGCTACTCTCTTCGGTTTTGAAACCTGTATCACGAAAAATCCGTTCCGATATCAACAGGTACGAGAAGTGAGTCTCGATTGAGTTGAGTAAATTATTCCGGATCATATTTGGATACTAGGATTAGTGTGGAAACACTTAAGATGGGTGTCAGATGTGTTACGTGAAAGGAATGAAAGATTTTTGGCTTGCTACTGTTTTGCACTTTCGAGAATGCAGCTTTTGTTGCATCGGCTACTAACAGGACATTTTAAACCGAAAATTAGCCTCAGCAAGAAAATTTTGGGTATATGATGGAGCATTTAAGGACCAATACATAATAAGCTGTGGAAACCGAATGAAAAGCTAAATTCACAGAGGCGTGGTTATCAATTAGATAAATTTGAGTCAACACTACAACAAATAGGCGGCAATGTTTAGTATACAGCAAGATAATGCCAGACCACGTATTGCCAGTCACACAATCGCAATCTCTGACTTTCACCTTTTTGGTCGTTACAATATTTTCTGTAGGGTAAAAAAAATCAAAAACGAAGACCACATCCAAATAGTAGATGGTTTTAAATATTTAGACATTATAACAGATCACTTACTAATTTTCAACAACCATGTTGATTATATACGAGCCCCTTCCCATTTCAGTTGGCCCACTTCAAGATTTGTACCAAAATATGCCTTTATAAACTAAACATGATGAAACTATTTACTTCTAAAACAATTTATTTTCTCAAAAGCATTTTAGATACGCTCTAGTCGTAAAAAATACATATTTAAAATCACTTAGACCTATAACTAATAGAACATCTTAACAAATAAACAATTTGCGAATAAATGCGCGAAGTTGATAAAGCAACAATTGAAAGATTACCATTGGGTAACATCACCTTTATTTTTTATTACGGCTGAAACTCTTTGAGGCTTAGTTAACCAAGTTTTGGCAAAAATTTGGTGTAAAACAATCCCATATTTCTTGGAGCTTTTGTCTCAGCTCGGTGATTGTACGAGCAGGATGTAGTCGTAGAACCTTTTTCATCTCGTGCCACAAAGTTTCAATAGGTGACTGATCTGGACTGCTAGAGACCCATTTCAAAAGTAGCACATTATTTTCTTCCATCCATTTTATAGCCTTGGCCGGATGTCAAACATTCTTCCATCACTGGTAAAAGCGATTCTTCTAAAATTGCCAAATATTTGTTTTATCCACATTTCCAACAATAAAATGAAGTTTTCCTACTCCTTTTGATGACATACTGCTCCAGACCATAATGAATGCTGGAAATTTCACTTTTCTCTTCAGACAGTCAACATGGAATGCTTCATTTTTTTGCGAATAACTCTACTGCGACTGTCACCAACACAAACTTCGAATCGGGCCGCATCACTCCATTGTATTGCATACCATTCTTGAGGTGTCCATTGTCTATGTTCTTTAGCCTATCTAAGCCGATTTTTCTTTTGCAGTGGAGTTAATAGTGGATTTTCTTTGGCCTATAAACAAGTTGTGCAACTTTTTACTTCACTTTTTGTATAAGAAAACTTACCTTGCAAGTGCTAAATCCCAGTTTGTGGGCCTCTCTATGAGTTGTGGACTTCGAAATTCTCCTTCCAACAGCTGTCACTCCACAGAGCACTTAATTGTAAATAATTGGCACGCCTGTTTTTCACGATTATTCTTCTTAATGCTCTTCGGTCGGCATTTGTGATATTGCTTTTTTTCACATATCGTGGATTAATATTAACTGAACCAGTTACGTTATATCTTCTAACAATATTTCTCACACTGTACCGCGATAAGTCTAACAAAGTTGCAATTTCTGAGTTTGATTTCCCAGAATTAAAAAATTTAATTATCAGTAACCGAATTTTCTCACTAATAACCTTTCCTCTACCCATTTTTAAAACCTTAACTAACCAAAACTATTTTAAACATATTCTGTGATTAATAAAAACAATTGTCATGGCTTTTATTTTTCACAGCCACCTATGCGTTATAGACTTATTTTGCATTGAAATGAAAATAGATTGATATGCTCTGATTGCAACATGTGTCATTTTTATGCAAATTTGATTAGGGAGTGATAAAGTTGGTGTTTTCTTCTATATATTATCAAAATATTCATTGTTAATATGCTGTATTTTTATTGTTTGTGTTTGATAAGAAAAAACTAAGATTTCAATAGTTGGGCCAACTGAAGTGGGAAGGGGCTCGTATATCGGAAATTGGGCAAAGAGACCGAGTATTTTCGTAGAACTGGAAGATACGATAGCTCCTTTGTCCCTAGAGTGCGAGTGTGGAACACAGTTTCTAAGGGATCCTCATAGCAGCCGCGGTGCCCTGGCATTTAGTCTTCTGTCTCCAGTCTAAGTCCCTGGTACAGAAGGGTTAGTCTACAATACAATAAGTTTCTCTCAGTTTACTTATTGTGAATAATTTTTGATTACATGCACAGATGAGGAAAATGAAATTCTATTAAATAAATATATGCGGATTTTTTTAAATTGTATCAGGAAGTAGGGTCTCTTTGCTATCCGTCTCTGTGGCGATAACCAACTGTTTGCAACGTTGTTTCATAGTTTTTAGCAATCATCAATACGTATAGGTCTGCTTAAACAATCAATATTGTGATACGCAGAAAATAAAGGTGTCATTGCTACCGATAGAAAACAAACAGATTCCATTCAGCCCCTGTTTAGTTTTATGCAACTTTTCCGTAGTATAATAATGCTGGTAGCATTGTGCGGATTTATAGTTCCCTTGAGTGTTGATGGGACACCTACTCGTATGTGGTGGACGTCCTTGTTTGGCTTTTGAGAAGTGGAACCTGTGATTTACTGCTACGTAGAGGTCGATAGTACCGCGATTGGTGAAACCACTCATAGATGATATGTTTCGCAAGATGGTAACTACTGAAAGGATATGTCTGATATGTACTACTATTAATAATGGAAACTGACCTTCGGTTGTAGGTACTCCTTATATGGACGATGCTGGATGCTTCTGCTGCAGATCCTGTAATAGACGATATAAGGAGGAGATAGAATGCAATAAGTCTCCACAGTATAGTTGCTCACATTGTTCCACGATATTCAAATACAAACATTGTATTATGCGCCATATTAAAAGACGAATCTGCAAAACGAAGACAGTACCTCTTCTTCAAGCTTACCAAAGTGAATCAAACTTAGTTATAAGTTTGACTGAATAAGGCTCTTTACTCACAATAGCAGCGGAAAAACAAGCACACCGTCAGTTTACCTCGCAGTCTTATGGCACTCAAAAGCTACAACAAATTCAGGAGGAAGTTAAAAGCTGACTCACGCAATTTATAGCGTTAATGAATTTTAAATATGAAGCAATATTTTTTTAAACATGTTTTTCATTATTTTATGTTACTTGTGTTCAGCTTGTTTTTATGTATTCTAATTTTTACTGTATTGCTGTATTTTATCCCTTCTAAACTGATTTTTTTTTCAATTGAAAGCATGCTTAGTGCCTACATTTCATTTGTACCTATAGCTATCATGCCATATGTACACTGTATCTTGAGTGATCAATGAATATAATGTCTAATGTGTAACCTGTGAGACCGATAAATAAAAAGTCACTGTCACTCATCCGTACTTTGAAAAGGGCCACCTTGGTGGCTGAAACGTCTATAAAGAGCAATAATGCATGCTTTCGCCAATTTTTGAATGACCGTTGTACAGCTTGAACGACCAACAAATCTGTTGTTGCGACTAGGATTGCCTTCCGTCCGGCTTTAGCCGGAAAAGTGGTAAGGCTACGAATATTCAACCCCCTTCTACCCCATCTTAGGGATATAGCTTCTGGAATTCTTCACTAATGTTTTTTTTTAATTTAGACAACACATAGGAACTCCTACAGCGTTAAGAGTATTAATAAAATTTTACCTCTTAGGGGTGGAATTTCCAAAATTTCTTTGTAAGTGCCCATTTACATTATATCAAAGAACCGAATATACAGAATCCAACTTGAAGAATAATAGTTTCCCCATACTGACTTTCACCCCCCCATTTCAACCCCTTCAAGTTTTATCTTCGCAAAAAAAGTTAGCCTATGTCCGTCTCCTAGGTCTAATCTGTATTTATGTATAAATTCACCAAAATAGGTTCAGCTGGTTTTAAGTGAAAACGGAACATACATACAAACTTACATACTCTCGTTTATTGATAATCAGATATTATTAACTAAATGCTGCCTTAGTAACCAGTAGAAGCATTATGTATTAAAAATGTTCTGTGTGCACAGAAAGCAAATGTGCTTAATAAAATCCATCCCTAGGTAGTAGACGGTCTCTGACTGTCGAACGCGGAGGTACCACCCGGCGGATCTCTATGGCGGAATCCCCCCTTTCCTCTATAGCACCACGGTACCCATGTGTATTTAGGCCTTAGGCCTTCGTGGTGGTTCAAGTATAAGAAAGCAGGTATAGAAGTTAATGTGATTTCATGTTGAATGTATTGTTTACGAAGAATGTATTGCTAAATAAGACGACTTTCAGGTACTTATTTCTTAGATCAAGAAGGGTACTTCTGCTGCACGACCTGTCACAGGAGATACAGAAGAAAACATGGATGGGTCCAACATGTTAGATACGAATGTAATAAACCAGGACAGTTCATTTGCAAACATTGTAA